CCCCGGGGCCCCGCCCAGCCCCACCCCCGACATCTCCTGTGACATCCAGTGCTGGTCGGACGAGGACTGGAGCCCACCCCGTGCAACGCACGAGCAGGGTGCAAGAGGCAGTGACGAGGATGCAGAAACAGGGTCCTCACATAATGATGCCGGTGGGTGGGGCTTGCACCACAGCAACGACAACCCTTCGTCACCCCCGGCCTTGCACGTGGGTCACGGAGAGCTGGGGTGTGACGCTGCCTCACACGAGGGCCACAACAGTCAGCTCGCTTTCCACACCTCCTCGCACGAAGGCAGACAGTGCCCCGGCTTGCACAGCGAGTGCTGCCCGCTCGCTTTCCGCACCCCCTCGCACGAGGGCATCCCCCAGCTGGCTGTCCATGCTGCCTCGTACAAGGAAAATAACCAACCAAGTCCCGGCAGTGCCTCGCACGAGGACGATGACCTACCTCCCCACCACACCTCGCACAAGGACAGCAACGAGCTGGTTTTCCCCGGCGCCTTGCACAAGGGCCGAACTAAGCTGGATTTCTACGATGCTTCGCACGAGGACCTGCCACTGGAGTACTACACTACCTTGCAGGAGGACCGCAGTAGCAAGCTGGCTTTTCACAATGCTTCACAGGAGGGCCACAACCAGCTGGATATCGACCCTGCCTCGCACAAGGGACATGCATTGGAGTTCCCTGCTGCCTCGCACGAGGACAAGCTGCATTTCCCCACCTTGCATGAGGGCCTAGCACCGGATTTTCCCGCCGCCACCGCCTTGCATGAGGGCCCAGCCCGCTTTCCACCGCCGCCCCCCTCCCGCCCGCACCAGTGTGGAGAGTGCGGGAAAGCCTTTGCGGCGGCCTCCACGCTGGCACAGCATGCCCGCACGCACACGGGCGAGAGGCCTTACGTGTGCGGGGCCTGTGGGCGCCGCTTCGCCCGAGGCTCCACCTTCCTGCAGCACCAGCGTGTGCACACGGGCGAGCGGCCATACCCGTGTGCCGACTGTGGCAAGCGCTTTTCCTGTGCCTCCAACCTGGCGCAGCACCGGCGCGTGCACACAGGTGAGCGGCCCTACGCCTGCGCTGACTGCGGGCGCCGCTTTGGCCTCAGCTCCACCCTCCTGCAACACCAGGTCACGCACACAGGCGAGCGCCCGTACCCGTGTGCAGACTGCGGCAAGGCCTTCAACCGCCGCTCCAACCTGGCCAACCATCGGCGTGTGCACACTGGCGAGCGCCCCTTTGCCTGCGCCGACTGTGGCAAGCGCTTTGCCGAGAGCTCCACCCGGGCACAGCACCGGCGCACGCACACAGGTGAGCGGCCCTACCCGTGTGGCGCCTGTGGCAAGCGTTTCGGCCTCAGCTCCACCCTGCTCCAGCACCAAGCCACACACGCCGGCGACCGGCCCTACCCGTGCGAGGATTGTGGGCGCCGCTTCCGCCTTGGCTCCGCCCTCCGGCGCCACCGCCGAGCCGGGGCCTGCCGCCGGGCAGGGACCCCGGGACAGGGCACGCCATGTGGGGGCTGCCGGGCACCAGGGACCCCCTCTTGCCAGGCCTGCAAAGCACAAGGGTCCCCATGTGAGGGCTGTAGGGTGCTAAGGGAGGAAGCAGGGACCCCCACATGCGAGGCATGCAAGGCACTAGGTGCCCTGTGCGAGGGCTGCAGGGCACTGGGGGAGGGAGCAGGGTCTCCGTCATGTGAGGCGTGTGAGGAACAAGGTGCCCCGTGCAAGAGCTGCAGGGTGCAGGGTGGCCCCCAAGCACCCTTGTGCAAAGAATCGAGCGAGGCACAAGATGCTCCATGTGGCAGCTGCAGAGGAGCAGGGACCCCCTCTTGCAAGGCGTGCAAGGCCCAGGGTGCCCCATGTGAGGCCTGCAGGGAACTGGGTGAGGAGTCGGGGCCCTCCTCGTGTGAGGCGTGCAAGACACAAGGCACCCCGTGTGAGGCCTGTAGGGCCCGGGGGCCCCCACGTGAGGCAGCGGTGCCCACCTACATCTGCGGTGAGTGCGGGCGGGGCTTCCGCCAGCGAGCACACCTAGCGGCGCACGGGCGGGCGCATGCAGGGGACCGGCCCTTCGCATGCGGGGCATGCGGGCGGGCCTTCGCTCAGCGCTCCAAGCTGCGGGCACACACCCGCACGCACACAGGCGAGCGGCCCTACCCGTGCGAGGCCTGTGGGCGCCGCTTTGGCCATGCCTCGGCCCTGGCCCAGCACCGGCGCACGCACACAGGTGAGCGGCCCTACCCCTGCACCGACTGCGGCAAGCGCTTCGCCCAGAGCTCAGCGCTGGCCCAGCACCGGCGCACGCACACGGGTGAGCGCCCTTACCCCTGCGGCGACTGCCCCCTGCGCTTCCGTTACCGCCTCCAGCGCACCCGCCACCGCCGCGCCCACCACGCTGCCAGCCCAGGGGGCTCTGGGATGGCTCCCAGTCCGGGGGTTTCAGCGGTTGGAGATGGCGGCTCTCAGACGTCTGTGGCTTCAGGAGTCTCTGCGGCCATAGATGGGGTCCCCGAGAAGTCCATGGCCCGGGGGGTCTCCGTGGCAGTAGATGGGATCTCCGAGATGTCCGTGGCTCGGGAGGTCCCTCTGGCCATTGATGGGGTTTCCCAGAAGTCCATGGCCGGGGGGGTCTCTGTGGCAATAGACGGGGTCTCTGGCATGTCCCTAAATCCAGGGATTTTGCTGGACGGAGACGGGGTCTCTAAGACATCCATGGCCCGGGGATCTCCGTGACGGTAGACGGGGTCTCTGAGACGTCCCGGGGGGGGCCCATGGTGATAGATGGGGATCTCCATGGTGCCAGACGTGGCCTCAGGGCAGTCCGTGGGCATATGAGGTCGGTAGGGGGGTGGGGGGGTAATTAGACTAATTAGCTGGGGGGGATTTGACCCATTAGCTCTATTTCGTATGAAGCCGGGCGGGCGGAGGGAAGGGGCCTGCCCGGACGCCTGGGCTCCCTCCCTTTGCAGGTCCCAGAGGGCAGCCGTGTGTGTATTCGGAGGCATTGATTGGACAAATGAACAATTGGGGTGTTGAGGGGGGGCCGGGAGGGAGCCCGGGCCCCTCGGTTCTCTGGGGTGGGAGGGAGGGAGCAGGAGCCCGCACACCTGCACACTTCCCTGGGGTGTGGGGAGGGGCGGCGGAGAGCCCGGCACTCACCCCACGCCCTCTGAGCCCGCTCCCCTCTTGGAGGAACCCTGGCGTCCGGGCTCCTGCCCCACCCTGTACAACGCCGCCATTGCGGGGGGTGTCCCCCCCGCAGCTCCTTACTGGCTTCTCAGCTCCATTTGTGTCCCAGAATCCCTCTGGAGTGGAAAGGTTTAACTTCGACTGTGGGGATGGGTGGGGGCTGAACTTTGGGCATTGGTGATGCGCCCAGAATAAAAATGGCAGGCTACCCCACATGCATGTGCGTGTGTGTCCATGTGTCTGCGCCTTATTCTGGGATAAGGGACCAGGGCAGTGGGGGAAGGGAAACAAGATTTGGGGTGGGGAAGAGGGATCCAAGATGGCCAATGCAGGGAGACCTAAGCTAGCAGAGATGGGGGAGGCCAAGATGGTGGAGATTTAGTGGGGAAGGATCAAGATGGCTGACTTTGGTGGTGGGGGGCAGGCCAAGATGGTGGAGATAGGGAAGGACAAGATGGCTGACTTGGGCGCACCCAAGGTGGCAGAGATGGGGGAAACTAAGGTGGCTGAGGTGGGGAGCCCAAGATGGCTGCCAAGGTCTGTGGGGACCCTCCTGCCTCCACCCCATGACTCCCCCCTCACATGAAGGACCCCTTATGGGATGTGTGGGGGTAGGTAGAGGTTGGGTAGGGCTGCACTCTAGCAGGTGGAGACGACCTTTGAACCAAAATGGCTGCCAGACAAGGCCCTTCTCCTGGAAGCACCCATGGGAAGATGGCTGCCCGCACCTTGCAGGCCAGGCCTGCCCCTCCACCCTCCACCAACTCCACCACCCTGCTGACTTGGCCAACGGGACATGACAAGGTCAGGGTTGGCAGAGGTTGGGCCCCTGCCTCCCTCTGCCTCCTGCTCCTGCTCCCCTTCTGGATTGGACGAGGCACTTCTCAGGCCGGGGCGATGGCCAAATCACTTCATCCAGGCAACGTTGGCCAACCCAGCTCAGTCCACTGCACCTCCCCAAGCCAACATCATGGGCCTGTCGGGGTCAAGGATGCCCAGTCCCGTGGGCCAAGTGAAGGGTAGTCAGTGATGGACAAGAAGGCCAACCCCAGAGCCACAGACTCTCTGGCAGACGCCACAGGGAGAGCCAGACCATGGACTTGGAACAGAGTCAGATGGACTTGCTCTCACCAGGTGTCACTATGCAGCCCTGTCCCAGGCTAGTTTTTCCCCAATCTGTGGGGTCCGTGCCCCACTTAATGTTCCCCCTGGAGGGCGTCTTTGAAATGTTTCCTCTGCCTCCCGTGTACCCAAGTTCCTTGGCTGAGCTGGAAGTATAGCAGTTGTTTCAGTAGCTGTCCACCAGGCCCGTGCACACAGTGCCCTTTCCACCGCAGCTCATGTTGATGGTCATCGCTTCCATGCTGGTGAGGATGCCTGGTGTCTGTGCAACAATCCTCCCGCTTTATGCCTCGGGTCTTCTGGAGGCAGCGCTGGTGATAACCCGACCTGTCCAAGTTGAGGCAAATGGACCCAACACAATAGAAGACACCAACCAGGAGGGATCAAGGTGAATCAGCGCTGGGAAGAGACAGTCAACCCAACCCAACCCAACCCAAGTCAACTCAACCCAACCCAAGGCACGAACCAGGAGGAAACAAGGTGAATCAATGCCATGAAGACGCAGTCAATGCAACCCAAGTCCACTCTATCCAGCACAATAGGAGACTCAAGAGCAAGTATCAAAGCCAATCAAAATTGTGACAGAACAACCTGATACAAAATAAAATATGGGGCCATAAAAATGAAGAGAAAAACACCACCATTAAGGACCGTAAAAGGACAAATTAAACCCACTACTGTAACATAAGGTAATGTAATGTAATATAATCTTGCCCTATCTCCTAGGCCACAGGCTGACCAAAACAAAGTCGACAGAAACAAAAATGCCAGTAAAGCTCCATCAGGAGGAATCCAAATTAATAACCAAAGAAACCAATTAAAAAAAAGACAAGCCAATAACATGACAACTTGCTCCAAAAATAAGATGAATAATAAAAAACCCCACACAACATAAAAGAACATGCCATAACAAATTAAACTGCTGTAAAAGAACTGGGAAAGGAATATAAAACTTGGTACAAATAGACCAATAAATTCAATAAGAAAAACTCAATAAAATATATGAGGAAAAGGAACAGGAAAAAGCTCAATAAAAATAGATGACTAAATAGAATAAAAGTAGCTTGTTAAAATTCAATCAATAACAGCATTAAGAAAAACTCAATAAAAGACCAGTTAACTCAATGAAAACCTGACTGAAAAAATAGACCAAGAAAGCCAATTAAAATAAATAGTCACTAAAAAAATTAAAAAATGTACCAATTAAATCAATACAAATAGATCAATAAAGCTACTAAAAATAGACCAAGGTCAATAAGAGACTCAATAAAGTTAATAAAAAACCAAGTAAAAATAGATCAATTAACTCAATAAAAACTCAATAAAAAGTAAACCAATAAAGTCAATAAAGAAAGATCAATTAAGTCAGTCTATTTTTAATGTTTTAACTAAGTCAATAAAACTATACCAAGAAAGTAAAATCTCAAAATAGACAAATATAGCGAATGAAAAATTGAATAATAAAGTCAGTGCAAATAGACTGATACGGTCCATTAAAAAAAAAAATCAATAGAAATAGATTGATAAAGCTGATAAAAATAGACCAATTCAGTCAGTAAAATGCTTGGTAAAAATAGACTGAGAAAGTCAGTGGAAAACATTAATAAAGTCCATAAAGAAAAAATAAACCAATAAAGTCAGTAAAAATAGACCAATCGGGTCAATAAAAAACAACAAAAAATAGACTGACACAATCAATAAAGGTAGACCAATTAAGTCAATAAAAAAGCTCAATAAAAAGACCGATAAAGTATATTAAAATAGACCAATGGGGCCAATATAAATGTCATTAAAAAGACCAATTAAATCAGTAAAAACATACTGATAAAGTCAATAAGAAACACATCAATAAAGGAACTCAATTAAAAAATAGCCTGATAAAATCAATAAAAATAGACCCATGAGGTCAACCACAAAAAAAAAAAAGTTAATAAAATAGACCAATAAGGTGAAGATGAAAACCATAAAAATAGGCCACTGAAATCAATAAAATAGATCAATGAAGTCAATAAAACTCAATAAAAAGGAAGACCAATACAGCCAATAAAAATAGATTGATAAGGTCAATAATACTCAATAAAAATAGACTGAGAAAGTCTATAATGAAGAAACAAATAAAAGACAGAGGCCAAGAAGCTGAGAACAAAATTAAATACAATAAAATAAAATAATAAAAAAACCCCAAGCAAAACGAACCCAATAAAATCAAATTAAATGACACCAAGAAAAAAATGAAACCAAAAAATAAAGTAAAATAAAATGATAAATAAAAATAGTCCAAGAAAAACTAAACCAAAAAAAAAAAAAAAATACAATGCAATCATCCAAAAGAAAAGAAAAATAGGGCAAGAAAAAAAAAGAAGCCAGAAAATACAATTAAAATAACAATGATAAAATATGGACCCAGAAAAATGAAAATAAAAAGTGAAATACAAGCCAAGAAAAAAAATAAAAGCAAACAATAAAAGAGACAAACACAGGCCAAGAAAAAAATTAACGCCCCTCCATCAAATCATAAAATAAAAAATAGCCCAAGAAAAAAAGAAACAAAACAAGGTAAAGAAAAAGAAAACAGACCAAGAAGAAATGAATAAATTAAAATAGACCAGAGGCCAAGAAAAAGATAAAAGAAAAGAAAAGAAAAGAAAAGAAAAGGAGGGGCCGTGAGAACCTGAAGCCAGGCAGGGGACGCCCGCCCGGGGACACACACCGGGGTCTGTACGAGGAGGCTGGACGAACACCTGGCCGGGGTCGTTTGACCCCAGTGCTGTTTCCTGCCATGGCAGGGGTCGGACTTGATGATCTGCTCAGGTCCCGTCCCACCCGACCAACTATGAAACTATGATACCCCCTAGGTCCCTCCCCACACCCCCTCCAGTGCTGCCCCTCCTAGCTACCCCTGACCCCTCCAATACCCCCCAGCCCACTACAGCTGCCCCTCAGACACCCCCATCTGGCCCAGACCCCTCCCTCCGAGCCACCTAGACCTCCCAAGGCCCCCAGGACCTCTCAATACCCCCCAAAACTGCTCCCCCTGCCCCAAGACCCTCGGTCCCCGCAGTGCGGAAAGCAGCAGCCACCAGTTACAAAACCGCCTTTATTATTATTTTCATTTTTTTTTGCCTTTTTTCCCTCTTTTTTTCTGTTCTTTCCAGCCAGAAAAAGGAAAAAAAAAAAAAAAAAAAAAAAAGCCCCCCAGAAACAGCCCCTGGGGGAGGGGGAGGCAGCTGGGCCTGGACGCCCCCCCAGCCCCGAGACCACCCCCCTGCAGCTGCCATTGGGACCTGGTGCCCCCCCCGGGGGAGGGAAAGCTTTGGTCCTTGAGGTGGGGAGGGGGGGCGAGGGCCGGACGCCTGGGTTCTCCAAGAGCATTGGTTGGTGGGGGTGCCCCGGGTCCCGTGTGTGTGTGCACGTCCCCACCACCTGGGTCCTGTCCCAGGCGCGTCCTAGACACCTGGGACCCTCGCTCGCGGGTGGCCCGGACGCCCAGGTGCCGTGTCTGAGCCGAGCAAGTCCCTTCGCTCCGGATGCCGGGGTCCCCCGAGCCTGTGCGTGTCCCGGACGCCGGGCTCCTCTCGCAGGTCTCCAGCTCCCGGATGCCTGGGTCCCACATCGCTGGGGTGGGATGGGGAGGAACCCCCACAGTCCATGTGTCCATCCAGGTGCTTCCTAACCCTGCGCTGCTGCCACTGCCACCTCCTCCATCTGTCCGCTGGCCCCGCCCCCATCATTAAATATGCAAACACTAATATTCATGACGCGACCCCCTGAGGTACATTCAGCCCAAAACCGCTGGCGTTGTGGGGGAGGAAGGAAGGTGGGGGGCAGAACCCGGACGCCTGGGTCCACTGGGGGAAGGGGGGTCCCGAGCCCCTCCCCCCCACCCCGGAGATTGTCACCCCGACTGGGGAAGCCCCAGTGGCACTGGGAGACTGGGAGGAAGTGGGACCGCCCCCCCTATTGCTTCAAGTACGCGGCGCCGGGGCGGGGAGAATTCAAGTATCGGCGGCGCAGGAAGGGTTAACGGAGATGTCGCCCCGCCCCCTCCACGTGAGGCCACCCCCCCAGC